TGGGCAAAAGAGCAGAACGGAGGTCGCGCCGAGCGTCACGCTGAGGACTGCAGTAAAGACAGTGCCAACGTTGCTAACCTGGCCACGCTGGAATAGCCGATAGCCTTCCCAGAATGCGAGTGCAGTTCCAGCCATGACTAAGAATGGCTGACTCGCGAAGAGTACTCCCAGAATGAACGACTTCTTGTCTCCGTCTCTGTGTGCTGTTTCTAGGTACTCGTTGTACCACTTAACAAGTCTTGGCTCTGCCCCAAAGGCATGAATAGTTTTGATGGAGCTCAGCGCATCTTGGGCGAGATTTGCAGCACGTGAATAGGTTTGGACCTAATTGATCGAGGTAAGCACCTGCTAGCGGCGACAAATTCCACATTTATAGACTTACAATTCGAGCTTCGATGGGAGCGTCAAGAGACACACATGCTCCTACAGTCAAAACCATGGCGGGAACAATACTCATAGTAATAAGAGCAAGTTTCCACTGGATAGAAAGTGCAACAATGTATGACGAGAAGAATAAAGAGAGTCCCATGACAAATGTATATAGTTTTTCGGCAATACCTTGATTGATCAGATGACCGTCTATAGTAGTATGTTAGTAAGCTTGGATCAACGAAAGATGAGATGGTCGTACTTGTTGTCACTTGAGTGGCAGTTGAACCGCCATCATGCAGGTCGAAATGAGCAATGTCTTGCCTGAGCAGACTTTCCAGAAAGGCCTTTCGGAGGGCATTGGTTGTCCTGGCTGCTGCAATGCAGATGCACAACGTTCCAATATATCCAATGACAAACCGACCAACAAACAAATAAACAAAGTAGAGGATAAGGTGCTTAACATTGTCTTCGAACTGTGCCGCGCTGTCCTTGCTGGTTACATAGGCGTTGAAAGAACTCGTTGACTGACCAAACACGATAGTCATGAGCGGAAGAGCGGCACCAACGACGACGGCTCCTGTGAAAGCAACGACATATAGTAGGCGATCAAGACCGTCCGCATGCTTGAATATCCTCTTTTCTAGTGGTCAGCAAGGCTACTAGAGTGATCTAATAAAATTCAGACTTACAAAGAAATCGCTTGGACGACCTTTTTGCTTCTCTTCAGGGTTGCCAGACTTCTCAATGTTTGATTGAGCCGAATAATAATTCTTGTTCGATGCAGAGGACCCTTTTCTTTGTGCGGCTACGTTGTCCCCTGATGTTTGGCCTCCGCGAGGACCCTTTTCCTCGTCTGGCGTTGATTTTTTGGACACAGCCATCGTGAATGCAAATGCAGCACAAAGATAGAGTCGGTCGCCTTCGATCAAATGCAATTCCACAACGCCAAAAAATAAGTTTGCCGCCGGAGCACAGATGTTGCAACAGCTCCATCGACTATATGTACGTCTTATTCGGGTCGCGCGCAATCCGCCGAACGCTCTTTCCCTATTTGCATACTCTCGGGTCGCGCGCATTCCGCCGAATGATCCTCCCTATTTCCTGCTCTCTACAGAGTATTCCCCTACTCTCGGGACGCGTGGAAAGCGAGTGTCAAATGCAGACAAGGGTATGGGCTAGGCTACCCGCAATTGAGTGCTAGCAGATGTACCCACCCATAACTAAAAAGGGGGGACCAAAAAAACTGCCACCCGCTCATTATTGATGCTATGTTCTTAACCGCAGCTACACACTAGAAGAAGCTGATAAATATTTTTTAAAATTTAGAGTATATAATTAATCAAGTTAGAGCCTATATATTTTCTTCCATAATTTTAGAGCTGCTTGTTACTATGAGTTTGGCATTTTAGAAGTAAGCCGGTATCTCAAAACCGGCCAGTTTTTTTTGTCCCACCCATGCGCCACCCCATAATGGCGTCCCTCAGCCCGGCGCTACAGCTTCTTTTACTCCTCAATCAACACTGTTTCTTTGCCCAATCACTAAATATTCCGCGTGACAGCGAGCGGCCCACATCCGCTACCTCTTTCGCTCGCACACCACCGCAGCGTTCGCAAATCGGCCGACAAACACATACACAAAGTAGGCAAGGCGAGTAATCCATCCCGCCTTCTTCAGGACTGGGTAATCCTGGCAGCACCAGAATAAGTAGGCTACTCGCGCCCAGTCAGCGCCAGGGACATGGAAGAATCTGTCCGCCCTATATCGGGTGTGAGCCGCCAACGAGCTGTAAGTGCCGAGACCGGCGAATATATAATCATGGATGGCTTTGACTTGTTCCTAGTGCGACGAATGCCGGCTACGAAAGATCAGATGCGACCGCAACCCGCCTTGCTCTCATTGCCGATCTGCGGGATTAAGTGAGGACAACGCTGTGCCATTTTCGCTCCACGCCTCATTACTGACAAGGACGATTGAAAGCATGCCAAGTTACCTCACAACGCCCCAAGGAGCACAAAGACCGAATTCAGGTGACTAAACAATAGTAAGATATGTACCTGTAAGTCTCTTTGGCCTGATAATAACCGCACTCCACCACCAGTGAAGATAAAATAGACCGTATCGAAAGCCGCCTGGGAGATGTTTATAGGCTTTTACAACAAGCGTCTACTAATGCCTCCTCTCCCCCGACACAGCCGAAGCTGGCATCTCCGTACCAGTCAAGTACGCCGATGGACATGGACGGCGCCTCCGATCATGAGCCCACAGCAAGCACCAATGCGTCAGCTACCGGAAACACAGGCCTGTGGGCAGAATCGATTGCGGCTAAAAATGTTTTTCAAAACACCATCGACCGGGACCCGGACGTTCGGCAAGATCCACAGCTCAACTCAGCTCTTGAATCTCTCCATCGGATTTTCAAATCAGTTCATCAATCGGATCCCCCCAACGTTTGGACCACAATATCGAGTGCAAAGGCCGCGATAGTTGCTCCGTTACCAGCTTGGCCAGAAATCAAGGCCGTGCTTGAAAGAGCAGAACGTTGGTCTCTCTTCGCCAATTCTTCACGCGGGTCATAACTGACATAATTTTTAGGCCAAAGACCCATGGCAGTCAATTTGCTATCACCCGCATTGTATGCGGATTTTTGCCAGAAATGCCGGTCCATGTATGAGAATAGGCTGGAAGGGTCGACAGCCGACAAGATGCTTGTCTATTCTGGGCTCTCGAATATATGTTCCGAATTCAGCGGCGCAAGCAATGGAGACGAAGCAGAACGTAACCATAACCTTGCCATTACATTTTTCCACTTGCTATCCGAGGCTTTAACCACACTACCAGCTCTGATGCCACCTTCAATGGCCACACTTGAAGCCCTCTTCGCCGCTGTGAGTCCGAAGTCCCATAGATGAAGATCTCTGTTGAGTGCTGATGCATGATCGTACTAGGCTCTGACCGCAGTAAGCATGTGCAAACCGCTGCTCTCATGGTCTTTGTCGTGCATCGCTGCACGAATGTGTCAAGCACTGGGATATCATCGGTTGTCTCGTGCCAATCCTAAATCGGACCCCTGGTTCCATCGTAAGGTATTTGTGTCCCGTCCTGTCTGTCATGTAGACAATCGTTCATGATAGCTAATGCGCTCCCTACTTAGGTCATGCTATTCTGGAGCATCTACACCATGGACCGAGGCAACGCTCTTCGGTTGGGGTACGCACCTGCTATCCAAGACTATGATATCGATACCCCTATGCCCGTTGTGAGCGAACAATACCCTTCTACCATAGTCACTATCAAAAAGTATTGGGTGGACTGCGCAAGAGTTCAGGGCCAGATCTGCACAAGGCTCTACGGACCTGCGGCATCTGCACTCCCTCCCGCCGAACGAGCTCAGCTCGCAGAGGCATTTGCGGATGAGCTTGACCAGATCTATAGGCGCAAGGTTGAGGTATTTTTCTTGCCTGTTCCGATAAGGTTTATCTGGCTAACTCTTTATGCGTAGGCCAAGTCAACTATCGTGTATTCGTTCGCATCTAAGCAGAATGAAAACAGAACTGAGTTGTGGACTTTCGGAGACGATATCATGTACCTGAGCACTAGGTAAGTAATGCCACTGGTATTTACACTGTGCACCCCTGCTCATCGATTATTTGATATCTAGGGCTACAGCTTTGCACGCGATCCCCCCGAATCACGAGCGCCGCTTCCGCGCTACTCAGAGCGCACGGGAATGCCTGCATGTATGTCGAGATATTAGCAACAAATACCGCGACAACGGCTATGCTTGGACCATCGTGTGTCATTGGGTGCTACTACATACGCCTTTGACTGCGTTTATGAGCATCTTTTGTCATATTGTGGCCTACCCCCAGGATTCAGGACAGGCGGATTTTGAAGTACTGAACGGATTTGTTGCGTCGCTCCAGCCAGCGCAACGACTTTCGGACGGCATCGAGAAGTTCCACAATCTTTGTTCAATCTTTCTCAAAGTTGCCCAAGCATACTTGCAAGCGAAAATGCGGCAGAGAGAGACTATCGCAGAGGGTGCAACCGACAGCAAGCCAGTACAATTTCTCCAGCCAGCTAATTCTGACCCGAATCAACACCTCTCAGGTTTAAAACCGTCGACTCCATCTTTGGGAAACGAGGCTTTCCTAGCTAACCACGTCGACTTCAACAATTTCTCAGATGCAAATTACCTCGAAGCAGACCAACAGTATCTCGATTTAATGGATCCTCAAGACTGGTACTCTGGTAATGCATCAATTTATAGCTTACTAGAGCACGATTATAATGGGATAAACTAGACAGCTTTTAGGTTCTTAGGGAACAGTAAGGACAGGCAATAAAGGAATTAATGATTTTAGAGGTAGGTTTATAAGATAGTTTATTAGAAAATATTTTTATAACTTATATAATTACTTAATATAACTATACCTTATTAATTATATTTTATAACTTATTATATTTAATATAAAAGTTTTAGAAGAGGTCTACTATTATATATTTAAATAAGCTATAAAGCTTTAAGTCTTAAATTTATTTTTTATAAAATAATAAACTTCTCTAATATTTTTTTAAAAAAATTATATATATCTATTATATATTAATGGTATAATATAAGGAATAATATAATAATATAATAATATAATAATATAATAATATAATAATATAATACTAAGGATTAGAATTTTATACTATAGGTTAAAAATAAAATATAAAAAATATACAAAAAATAATTTTTTTAATTAAAAATCACTAGTACTCCTATAAATTTAGATTATCTACTATTAACTTCGGGTAGACTTTTTACCTTAGTTTATAGCTGGTCCTAATCTTCGTTTTAGGTATAGTTAATTAAATAGGCCGGTAAGTATCGCTTTGTAACCTTGGCCTGTGCTAATTACGCCGCTAGGATGATACATCGGGCTAAATCTTCGGCATTTCGGATGAATCTGGAAATCCGTGATACTCATTTAGTCTCATTCGTGTGCAAATGCAACTGATTCGAATGTTCGTGTCTAGGCTTTTACCCTACTAGCTGTCATAATGTACTCGATCAGCGTGCTCTTGATGGCTATGGGCACAGCCCTCTTTATCGCGCACCATGTTACTGGCGTGATCCGCGTCCTCTTCTTCTCGCGCATCTCCCATATCCCGGGTCCAAAATTAGCTGCGCTTACATACTTTTATCAAGCATATTGGGATCTTTGGCCTCACCAAGGACAATTCGCATTTCACTGTATCAAATTACACAAAATATATGGTCCGATCGTCCGGTTAGTCAAGGCTTTAAGTCAATGCTTAGGCGCAACAGCGAACTAACTTTGACTATGGCGGCAGGATCGGTCCCGATGAAGTTCATATCGACGACCCTTCGTTTTACAGCTCGTGCTATCCCGGTTCGATTGGTCGTCAGAGAGACAAAAGCATGCTCCATTTCGGATGGGCCCAGGGCCTAGAGCAATATGGGGACGGCAACACGTTTTTTACGTTGTCCCATGATGACCACCGGATGCGTCGTTCTATGTTAGCACCATTCTTTTCGAAGCAGAAAGTCCGAGATCTGGAAGTGAAAATCCAGGAAAAGGTCATTCGTTTTAGAGAAAGGCTTCTTGAATACGCTGCCGACAAGGAAAAGGGAAGTGCACCAATTGATTTCAGCAACGCCACAGGCGCTTTGACATTAGGTAAGTGTTTTCATGGCAAGAGCAAGATGTGTACAGCTACATCACTAATACAGCGCCGACTAGATATCATATCTGGGTATACTCTGGGCAAATCTATCGGTGCGTTAGATCGCACAGACCTGGCACGGGATTATCATGAAGCTTTGCGCAACAGCGCAAAACTTGGTCCAATCGCTCGTGCCTTTCCTTTCATTCCCCGTGCGATGGTAATGCTGCCGGACTGGATAGTCAAATTAAGACCTGAGATGACAGCTGGGAAAGAGTTTCAAGAATTAGTTACAGACCTCACACGCATGGCTTTTGAGAATGCTAAAAAGTCGCAAGGAAATGAGGATCGCACCATTCTTCAAACTCTCATCAACCACCCTACCGCCCCAGAGAAAGAGAAAGAATTCAACAGGCTCAGTGCGGAGGTTATGATTATGTTCGCAGCAGGTGGTGAGCCTACTGGGCGTGCCTTGGCGGTTACCCTGCTTCACATTCTGCTTAATCCTCCAATTTACAAGCGAGTCTTGAGTGAATTGAGGCCATTGATCCCATCATATGATGCCCCATTGCCACCAACAAAGCAACTCGAAGCGCTGCCATACTTCTCGGCCGTGATCAGTGAAGGTCTCCGAATGACCCACGGCGTAGCCGGGCGTCTCGGTAGGATTGCCCCAAACGAGACCCTCACTTATCCGAAGGGGAAGAATGGCCCTGTTCAGATACCTGCTGGGGTAACATTCTCACAAACGCTATACCTGGTACACAACAACGAAAAGATATTCCCTGAGCCCTTCGCATTCCGGCCCGAGCGCTACTTGCGGCCTGAGAATGCGACAGAGGCCGAGACTCAGGCAGTAAATGCTGCGAAGGCATCTCTTGCTCCTTTTGGTAAAGGGGCGCGTAGTTGTCTGGGAATGAACCTGGCATATAGTGAGCTTTATCTCACATTGGCTGCTATTCTTGCTGGGCTCAAGTTGGAATTGGCAGACGGTGTCTCAGAAAAAGATGGCAGAATTACGCAAGAATACTTAATCGGTTGTCTAGATGACTCGAGGGCTGGAATTTCTATCAATGTATTGGGCACACTTTAGAGGGAGCCCTTGTTCATGAAAGAAAGGAACAATCCCGTCTACTTCATTGTTGGTAGTCAATGTTTAAAAAAATGAGAGTGATTACGACAAGGTTAGTGATCGCGAAACATAACGTATCGATGAAGTAAACCGCGATAATAATTACAAATAATTCGTCTAATGAACTAAACGACAGTAACCTGCGTCTTTCATGCTGGCCCAGCATTCAGAGGCAGATGCGGATGAAGAAAAGGGAAATAAAACCTTAGAAGACCCAAGACAATGCACATTGGTGTCCCTGCTGGAAATTTTGCTTTTCCATTGGCATTGATGATGCCAACGTTTTTCTTAGACCATTTGCCCTCAGGTTCATTTGCCGCTTCCAACATTCCAGCAGCAACGTCCAGGTAAGATACGAACGACTCCTCTGCGTCTAGTGTTAGTCGATGGCCTCGCTGTACATCCACCGAAAGTCCACCAGGTTTAATGTAGACACAAGGTGCCCACTCTTCTTGCTCCCGTAAGAATTTTTCAGCCAATTCCAGGTCCTTATAAACGTGCCAGGCCGATCTTCTCACGATCATGTTAACCCAGGGATGCTTTCGGCTAAGCCAAGGATCTATAGTAGCAGATGAGAGAAGAATCAGTTTCGGAATTGTGGCTTTTCCTTTCATCTTTTCAAGAGCTTTGATGACAGTCCTGGCGAGATCTTGACTGATATGACACCCAGGTATGTTATCGTTGGTGCTTGCAGTGAGAAATACAGCCTTGCAACCAGCCATTGCCTTCCCTAAAAGATCAGCGTCAAGAATGCTCCCGTTGAATATCTCGACGCGATCATTATCTTTGGACTCCGGGACTAGTCGAAACAGCTTTTCCCGATTGCGGCAGTAGACTTTGACCTGCACATCTGGCATTTGAAGGCAAATAGTCAGAAGCGCAGTGCCACAATTGCCAGTTGCACCTAGGATGCTGTAGCAAGCCGGAGGGTCGCTAATGATGTTTTCATTCATTGCGGTTGGACGGGGTAAGAGTAAATTTATAGTATAAAAATAATTTATCCGTGAGGCTAAATATTTTTATAGGTTTATAATTACTTTAAGCGTTGGTTTAGGTCTATATATAACTGATTGCTGTATTTGGTCGCTGTGATTTGAATAAGTCGTTCTAGAGCTAGTGAGCCTCGTTTACTTTCCGTAGACCGCTTCGGCCTATAGAGCCGATACCAATTACACCGAAGACCCTCGCCCCGGAATATTTGTAACTAATATATATAAATACATGAAGAACATTGGCATTTAAAGCAGTACCGAATATCCGTTGGCAAAATTAATTTAGTCTATGAACCGCTTGAAATTATAAGGCTGCAGCTCCGTTGACCTTGCAGGCCTTCATTTACACCCGACTTTCTCCTGTCTTCTCATCTATTACTTTCAACGAATATTCAAAATATGACGGGCGCTACTACTAAACCCCATCGCTTGGATGGTCAAGTCGCGTTAGTGACTGGATCGGGGCGAGGCATTGGTGCCGCTATCGCAGTGTATCTGGGTAGTCTAGGCGCCAAGGTCGTTGTCAACTATGCCAACAGCGTCAAAGATGCGGAAAAAGTTGTTGCGCAGATCAAGTCCGATGGCTCAGATGCCGTGGCTTTCAAGGCCGACATTCGCGATGTGAGCCAAATCGCGAAGTTGTTTGATGATTCTATTGAACATTTTGGACGCCTAGACATTGCTGTTAGCAACTCTGGCGTGGTTAGTTTCGGCCACCTCAAAGATGTCACAGAAGAAGAGTTCGATCGAGTTTTTAGTCTGAATACTCGTGGCCAGTTTTTCGTTGCAAGAGAAGCGTACCGAGTTTTGACTCAAGGTGGACGCATTATTCTGACATCGTCCAACACGGCCAAAGATTTCAGCGTGCCGCGCCACTCTCTTTATTCTGGCTCAAAGGGGGCAATTGATTCATTCGTTCGCATATTCTCCAAAGACTGTGGGGACAAAAAGATCACCGTCAATGCTGTGGCTCCAGGAGGAACTGTCACGGACATGTTCCACGAGGTGTCGCATCACTACATACCAAATGGAGAGAGATACACCGCCGAGCAGCGCCAGGAAATGGCTGCCCATGCTTCCCCTTTGCACCGAAATGGTTTTCCAGAGGATGTTGCTCGCGTTGTTGGCTTCCTTGCGAGCAAGGAGGGCGAATGGGTAAATGGTAAGGTGATTACCTTGGATGGTGGAGCTGCTTAAGAAGATGCTGGTTTAAGTAAACATCAGCTTATTAGCAATTAGTGGACTTGAGAGCCCGGAAAGAAATCTATATATGTAGACTGCAACATTTGTTTCAGCTTCATCAATTGAACTTAGAAACACTCAGATCAATCAGCCGCATTTGAGCTCGCTTTCCCCGTGAAAAAATCAAGCACCTCAGTATAGTAAAGTAGTCAACTACAAGACTTTTGGAACCCCACTGTACCTATGCTCCGGTTGCTAGCCGTAGTCCCTAGAACCAACTGTAGCGAGGCCACGATTCGCTGCACACCCACCCGAATCACCCACCTTCGAGTATGCTTGTTCTACAAAAGCCAAAAATGTTTACTATACTAGATTTCATCTGCTAAAGCGTTTATGCTATTACTAAAGTAATTATCAAGCAACTAATGTATAATAAGTTTCTTAAAGAAAAAAAAACTGCCGAAATGTACCTAGTGCCTAAAAGCTAGTGGTGGACTTTAGACCACGAATATTGTATGAGAGGCAGATGAAATATTGCTTTGTAAGATTAATTTGCAACATGGCTCAAACAATGGAGTAATTTCCTAGCGAAGAATGGTTGCAATAGCTGTTAATAATGCACCAATCCCAACAAACAAAGCTCTTCTCGCATTCATCGCCTTCCACACAATCAAGGTTTCTCTCACATCCTTCTCTACCGGTTTCAGCACCTCAGTATTAAGCCCTTTGTTTACCTGATCGCCAAGATCCAGTAGCAATTTGTTTGCTCGAGGCTCCATAGCCAAGAGAGTGTAAGGGATGATGGCCAGCACCAGCAGTACTGCAGTGCTGTAGAGTGCAAAGGGGGTAATGGCCCCCACAATCCGCCGGTGAGTATTTCGCGATCTATGAGCTAGAAATCCATTGCAAAGGGCAGCCGTCATAGCGATTGGTGGCGAGGTTGTTTTGCCTATGGAGTACATGACACTGAATTCTCGAAGTAGCACATCAATCGGTGCCACATTAAGTGTCGGTACGCCGGCATGACTGAAGCAAATAATGAATCCTGTCGGTTGTTTAGTAAAAAAAGAAGGGTTGAAATTCAATTCACGAACCTGACAATGACGCGGGCGCTAATATAGCCAGTATTTGCGCTACCTTTTCGAGACCGTCGCCCATGTTGCTACTGGTAGAGGCCAAGGGAGATACTATAAATAATGTAGAATGCGAATCAAATAATTGCAATTTCATGGATTTTTTAGAGTACGCCTCTGGCACGAGTCTCCTATCACCGGTATATATCTATATACACCGCTTAAACCCGCTGGTACATGAATCGGGCTAATACCGGAAAAGCGCCGAATGCCTAAAATTATATCGGCCTTACGGAAAATATTAATACCCTATTTCATAAACATATTTGACCATTCAAATTCAGCTCGAGACCCTAGTGAGAGAATGTCCTCATCTTCGACGCTAAAATGGACTTCTTGGCAAATGTTAGCGGAAATGTCCTATCGGCGGCCCCCTATCCAAATCTGGGTCTTGACCACCCAATTGTTACATACTTCGGATCTCTCACAACCGTCGGTATCACGACTGTGCTAGTTGCATTTGTAACTTTTCTGTGCTATGAAGCCTACAGGCCAAAAGTTCATCCCAAATCCCCAGCTTTCATTTCCGACACCATTCCAATCCTCGGTTCGATTGGGTTTGTCACGCGCCAATGGTGATAAACTCCCTCATTATTACAGACGCTCTTGATGATAACCATGTAATAGGTCCTTTTGGAAAGATGCCCTCGAACAATCCAAAACTGGGAACTTTAGCTTCTGGCAGGGAAAGATTCATATCGTCGGCATCTCCGGCCCTGCCGCGCGTAAAATGCTCTTGGATCATCCCAGCCTTGACTTTGTCGCGGCTCAAAGCTTGCTGGCGTTTGGTATGCACTTTTGGCCCCCAATCCACGAGATCTTCCAGCAGACTGGAGAAAGAGCTCGCAATAATACACACTTCCTACGCACCTTGCTCGGTCTTTTGAAGACAGCTCGGATTGAAAGGGTTCTCTCTGGCTTGCTGGAAGATGCACGCTTGGATTTTCAGGCATTATTACCAGAGAGCCCAAATGGAGTTGTCAACGCACCAGATCTGTGGAGAACAGTGTTTAAACAAAGCACTCGACTCTTTTTCGCCGACGACTTTGCAGTTGACAAGCAGCTATTTGACAGGACAGCCGATCATCTTGAAGTCATTTTGCATTCTTACAGCCCATTTTACGCTTTCCGGCATTGGATTCTCGAACCGAGTATGATTCGCAGGCGCCTTGCGCGTCGCGGGCTCCGCCAGACAGTGCAAAAGCTCGTGGCTCAGCGCAAGAGATATGGCTTCAAGTATAAGGATGATGCACTCCAAACAATGATTGATAACGGAGATCCGGAAGAGTTCATTACTGAATTTTGCGCGAGCGCCACTTTCATCACGACAACTAATGCGCACATTATTTTCCCTCAGCTCATCAATACCATGGCCGTGCATCCAGAATGGCAAGAAAAGGTCTACCGAGAGGTCTATGCTGTCGCTAAAGAGCATTGTACCAACAAATCGCTGCCTCTAGTTGAGCAATTGAAGTATGTCCCTCTCAAAGCATGGGAGACATCATTCCCGATGCTCGACCTGTGCATCTATGAAATCATCCGGGTGTGGACATCATTTGCTGTTGGAAGGTTGAATACGTCATCTGAGGCTATACTCATCCCAGGATCTGATGAGGTCATTCCCGCAGGTGCCTATGGTGTCTGGAATTCAACCGAACTCAACTTTGACGCGAAGCTTTTCCCCAACCCGCGCAAATTTGACCCCATGCGTTTTGCAGAGGGGCGTCGAGAATTCGAAAAAGAGCCATACGGATGTAAGTGAGATGCAAGCTGATTGGTTTGATTGAGTTTCTAACACTTTTGACAGTTTTTGGCTGGGGGTTGGGTATGCATCCATGTGCCGGTAAACGCTGGGGCAAGTTGCAACAGAACATTTTGATTGCTCACGCTTTGGCTACTTACAAGTGGACCAGCTGTGATGTAAATGGCAAGGCTGATCCTTATGCTGCACAGAGACAGGATATGGGCGCTGAACTAGATTCAGAGAAGAAGTTTGCCCTGCCTCCGGCGTATTGCAAGATGGAACCTCGAAAGTAAACAGTCTAAATAGTTTTATAGTCAAGCTTACCATGTTTATAAATTTTTAGTCTTTATTTGCGCGACTTTAATTTTTTTTTTCCATTGACGGTGGCCTTACCCTTGGTGCTGTCGTGACCGTTCGCTCCATTTCGGTGCGATTCGTCCGTCCTAGCGGCATATATGCCGATATTCTCGTTATCAAAGCTTGCTGAATGCTGCATTTACTTTGAGAGCAGAGTAAAGTGCGCGATCAATGCAAAGATGCCTATCGTGGAAAGCCTTCAATCGATCCTTCCCGCCCTCGAGTGGATGACCATCATATCTCTATTTTATCTCTCCGGTGTGGACTCTCTCCCATGGTCAACAGAAGTTTTTCTAATCTTTAAGTTAAGGCATAGCTTGGTGCTTCAATCTTTGGGTAGTGCCTATCATCAAACTCAATCCGACGGTCAGCGCAATCCATCAGTTTAAAGAAACTTCTCGGCGGGGCGGGGTTTGGCTTGAGCCTTTGAACGCTTTCATCGCTGCGATGCTGGCATTCATTGCTTTTATCAAGTCACAGAATCCAGAAATTCTTGAATCGCAAAAGTGGTGGCGTTTTGCTCTTGCCAGCTTTACTCTCGTCCAAGTGGCATGGTGGGAAAGAGCATTCATCTTCCGACTAGACACCGCCGCGTCTATCATGAAAGATAACAAAGACAACTTCAAGCTTCTAGATCGACAATTGTTGGCAGATGGAAGCAAGATGAGGTTAAACTACATCATGGATCTATGGATGAAGAGACACGCTGTAAGAGCAACACTGCCTTTTGTTGCAGCCTTGATTGCGGTTACCTCGAAGAATGGCTATTAAGATAACTGGCGCGAGACTGCATTTAGAGATAGAGTTCGATGTATTAATCAATCAGTCTCTAGTATTTTTCAGGCAGAGCTACTGTTGCTAGATAATCTAATCCTCGCGAAAGATCTTCTCATATTCGTGCTCAGACCACCGAATTTCGGGTACGAGGCCTGCGAATTTCCAGGTACCATCGACAAAACGATAATAAATAGTTGCTTTGCCATGAGCATGACCTTGGTGCAAGACTTCCTTCAAGTCTGCATTTTTATACCTCTGATGAGCGACCCGCACCTGGTGGTGACCAATAATCTCGTTCTGACTGGTTTTGACCCATTTTGTAGCACCAATAAAGTGCTGTGTCTTGATAGACGGATTGCCCAGAAATGCAGGCGCGCGTACCAAGTCGACAAAATCAACAGCTGGCATAGTTTCCCAAATTATGCCCATTACGGCACGATAGTCAATCTGGCGACGCTTGTCAGACATATCATGCGCTACTGCGGGTAAGGAGATCACATACGTAGAGGGTCGGAGCGATACATTCTGCAAGGCGAGTCCAATCTTTACTATCAAAGCTTTCTGCCCATTCAAAGACGGCGGCCTGACATGCCACGAGTTCTGACTTTGCACGTGTTAGCTATCTTGCTCCCAAGCTCATTGAAGAAGACGGATCAACCTTCAGTCTCAATCTTGTGGGTTTCCTTTGCGACCATTTCTTTGGGAGTTACCGATCATGCGATAAGTTAAAGCAGGTCTGAAAGTCAAGGTAAAAGAGCACTTCGAACTTATCAAACTACCTGTGCTAGCGCCGCTTATGACCACTCGGGGGAATCAGCTGCTTGGCTCCAAGAAATGTTCCATCCATCGGTCCGATGAAATGACCCGACCGGCCCCGCATTCTTGCATCCACGGGAGTATCTCGTTGCAAAGATTCGGGCTATACGGCACAGCACGGCTGTCGGAGCATCACATTTACCGGCTGATTATAATATTATCAAAATGAAGCGGACAATTTAGAACTTTTCCCAAGCCACGTGAGTACATCACAACCCATGTGTACGTACCTACATATATAACGAAATTAAGCGTTATACAGAGGCTGCTGAAGCGCCCCGTTATATACTAAATACTCCGTGGAACTAGAGATGCATTATATTCCTTGAAAGGTGATGCAGAGAAAGGCAAGTGGATGGATTCTCGTAGCAGTCGCTGGGCTTGCCGTAGTTAGCTCCAGGGCTTACCTCCCCCGGTACGACTAACGAGAAAAAAATGGAGAAGACTCTATGTGTAGGAGAGAATAATTTATTTGTTCATTCAAGTTTATGAAACGGGCGCAGCAAGGCTGAGGGGCTAGGTAATTATGATTTTATCACTCTGTGGCTGTGACAGGCGACCTATGAAAGGCTTCCGTCAGTTTTAGTGTCTGCATCTACCTACTAGCGACGCAATGGACATTTCTGTTAACATTCCCAATTTCTAAAAATTCGCCAATTTTATAACTAGCACTAACTAGTGTAAGGTTACGGTCACACATCAAAATGTGCGACCACTAGACATCTAATGAAGCTTATCTTTGCACCCACTAGGCGTGGCGTAAGGGACCGCTGTCGCGACCTATTCAAGAAGACCAGCAAACCAAGGAGCCATGCACCAACTTACCTAGCGCCTCCCGAGGGCCTATCCAACCTCCGCCTTAACGGGGCATCGAGATTAATACCAAGTAGATTGTCCGTATGCTTGCATTTGCACTAGGGCCTGCCTATTGAGCTCAAGCTACATGATAGAACCGATGACTGGTGTGTAGGTTAAACCAGCTAAGGTAGAGGAATACCCGCCATAGGTTAAACATTTGCCTGAGAATTATATTTCTCTTATTCCTAGTCAAATCAAATCGGAGCCAGATCTAAGTCGAAATATTTATAAGTTTATTCTGAATCCGTGCACCTCTTATATTCCCGGTTGTAGATGATTAGCACCCCTGAGGCTGGTCTACTCCCCAGGCAACTGACACTTCAACCTTGCCGTACTCTCCTGAAACTTGCCTTTTTTCCGAGCCCGACAATTGCGGACGGAATTCTTCAACTCCGTACGCTATCTGGTCGTTGGGAGACCAGTCAGAGTCATGGTCCCAAAGGTCCACATGAATCTTGAGGGTATCGAGCATCGGAACGGCCATTATAGCCCTCGATAACGGGATGACTGTATCGGGGTATACCTCAATGCTATTGCCGCTCTCTTTGTTGAATAGGTCGCGCTGGACAAAGCGGCTGGATACTCTGACTCTCCCGAAGACGTCGGCGGGTTTCTCTCCGTCTCCATCGAGCATAATTACCTGAATCACCGCCTTTGTCGCACTGCTCATCACGATATAGTCCACGGTCGCCTTGCCGTATTCGCCGCTGATCTCCTTTTGAATAGGCGTGTCGTACTCGTTTGTCTGATCGTGGGCTTTCCATGAAATCTGGCCCTTGCTAACTTGGTCGTGCGGAGATGGGTCCCTGTCTCTGTCCCAGAGATCTAGGTCGATGATGAAATCTCCATTCGCCGCAAGAGGCCGAGAGGTGCGCAAATCGATCATATCTCGCGGCTCGACAGATACAGAATCATCCTTCTCAACATTGTAAATTACTTGAAGGCCTAAGTCATCTGTAGCATGGATGCTGCCGAAGAGGTCACCTGGCGATTCCCCATCGATGTCATTGATCATGACCCAGAGGATCTCGGCCAATGGGCGGGGCTTGGCGATGCAGACATCCGGCTCAGTTATTTCAATAACTGATGGCCTTTCAATCTGAGGCTCTGGGCTGTTGTTGTCACAACGAATGGAACTAATCATGTTGTCAAAACGACCCTCATCGAACTCGTCCAAACGATCGTTGCCTGGAAAAGAGGAATGAAATGAGGCACCGGCGCAATTGTAATCACTAACAGGTTGTTAGTTCCAGTTTGAAGGGTTTTGTTGGATATGAAACAGTCACGACGAAATTGTCTGACGGTATTGAAGGGTCTTACAAAAAGAATTGGCATATTCCGGCGGATGCGCCGAGAAGAATCGTAGACGCCCTGTCATTCCATTCCAGAGGAATAGGCACTATTGGGATATTTTGATTAGCAAATTCCACGGGCAGTTAACGTTATCAATAGGCACTAGCCGAAGGAAACATACCGCAAGATTGGGGAGGCGTCGCTATAGAAATGCATTCACCGCCGGATCGTGGCTCGTCGCACACTGTAACAGTAGGTTTCTCGTTGTCGGCCTTGTCCTTGACTGCAGCCGCAAGTCTACCACAGACTTTCTTGTCGAAGTTGCCTATCCTGTGTTAGATCGGGTACATCTTTGTCGAACAATTTGACATACTGGTAGTATCACGGCGGTCTACTTCGTGCCATGGAATAGATCTTTTCAGCTCATCGTGTCGCCACGACACAACAACTGCTGCCAGTGCCATGGCACACTGCGCTGCACTTGCAGCGCCCTGGCCCAAGGCAGTTCGTAGAAGACCCGGAATTTCAACCGCAGACCAGTCGAGGCTGCTGAGTGTGGTCTGATCTGCTGCTTCTGTTTGGGGTCCATGTTCTCTGATGAACTGTCTCAGATTACTGGCTGCAGACTGTCCTAAATATGCCTCCCAGGCTCCGTGACGCCCTTCAACAGCATTTTGAAGTCCAGCAAGCTGCGGCTGAGCGCCGCTAGGGTCTGTTGAGTCTGGACGAAAGTCGGGATTGCGTGTGAAGCGGCCCAACTGGCTGATAGGATCCTCTGCACCCAGGATGCGATTTAGATCGGCGGCACGTACCTCGTACCAGCCTAGGACTTGGTCCCATGGAATCCCTTGAACGGCAGCTTGTTCTTGTTGGGCTGGATAGGGAGAAATATTCTCCAAAGACAAATTCACATCAACCATAGCCCAGTTTGTGCGGATCCGATAGAGATAGCCAACCTCTTGCGCGTGTTCTGGCGAAGGTCGAACAGCAAAGGTGATGGCACCAGTAAGGGATGTACTGGTCGACACATACTGCGTGACATCTCTAGTTCCAGCCGGGTTGTTGGTGTGCGTCCAGAGACTGCTTCCTGCTTCAAGCTGCTCGGGTGTAAGTTGATCAAGGAGCTGAAAGCCTCGCGCCCACATTCCACCAGCTCGTTTAACGTCGTCAGGAGACCTGCCCGGCTTTCCGTCGCGAGTTTTGCCCGTTTCACCACGCCATACAAACGGTGGCTTTCCGGGAGCCCTAGTCCTTATACCCCCAGGAGTCGTTGGAGAAGGCGCTCCGTGGACATGACAGAAGAAGAAGAAGATGGCCGCTAACAGAAGCGACAAGTAGTGTTGACCTTGCATTTTAGTCAAATGGCTCTGAATGCCAAGGTTTCGTTACTGTGATGGGAGACACAAGACTCAAATACAACGTTACACCAGACTATATATACTTTTCTATCTACAACTGATCAAATACTGTTCGCGGGCTGGCCGAATCAGGCCCCTCGTTCACAGAAAGATTTCATGTTAAACTTTCGAGGTTGTTGACAGACTATCACCACTTTGGAGAAGCGTATACGTCCTGCATGCTTGTGTGCCGGCAGCTTATTATAGCTCATTACATAAATGACTCAATATCCCTGGTCTTGGTGGAATGGATATCTCTGTTCATAACTATTCGACGAGGGCTGGATTTTGCGGCGTAGAATTTGGATCTTGCAACGTAGCCGCACAACGGCCATACACCCCCTAACAGAACTTGTCATCCTCCACCGTTTACTCCTCCCGACACACACAGCTTAAGACATCGTTTAATAAATGCACGCGAGGCGCTCACAAAGAGAAATCCGAAAGCACTCTCACAGACGCTATCGAAGGCTCGCTAGAGGAACGACGCTAGGTACACTGGAGGCGGGCAGGAGGTGGTTTTTTGAAAGTCACTGTAAGACAGTGATTTCAATAATGACCTGGCTCTGATTGGCCCATCTTGGCCCACGAAATACCTCAATAGGCAATATCTATCTTGCAAGGTTCGTTGCGAAATTCAGGGTCCCTATTTGCTTGACAGGTCTTATACGTTGCATGGCCTGAAAGATCGTCATAGCGGTGCTGGCTCCACGGTACCGCAGCAGTCAAGCGGGTAATATAATATCCTGGTATCCCATCACCTGTCAAGCGGATACCAAAAATCATAGCCACTTGTTGGAGAGTGCCAGGGAGAGAATTGGCCGTGCTTTTTGTTGGCCGCTTGCTCTTTTCCCCATTTTGCCGTACCTACGACTCTTGCCGATCAATTGTCTGATTAGCTAGGGCGTTACGCTAGCTGCTGTGACTATTCGAACATACTGCGACCTATATAGAGTAAAGGGGCTCAGAAGTCGAGTTACATACTGTGTAGCTACGGTAATTCTCGGTGTTTGAGCAATACATTCCGTAGTCGTATAGTAAATTGATAGGACTTTTGCCAGAGCAGGTCAGTAATGTTTGTTGTCCGCCATCAGGCGACTTATTCAGTAAGCTCCGTCGAGTGGGGCTAATACCTACGACAATTATTCCTACGACAATATAATATAGGAAAAACCGAGCATAAGCAGCGAGTTGCTAGCCTAGCGCTGATGTAGAAGTTACTTCGTAGAATCACTCCCGAGGGAGTTAGGGGCTAGTAATTACGAAGGGCAGTTGCCCGCCCTGTCCGTAAACTCGAGGGTGGATAGCTGCCTCGGCCACCGCCCACTAATCAAAGCTACGTCACTAGAATTGCCCTCATCTTCGACAGCAGTATCATTGTGTAGATTTCATCGACTATGTAGAATGTAGCTAAGTCTGAACGCAAAGGTGGTTTGGAACTAGCATCGACAAAGCCATTTTACAGTATCAACGTTATAAAGCAGCTTCAGATTACGACGATAAGGAAACTCGAAAGATGCGAGAGCACCCTCTGGTCAGTCTGCTTTCTCCTATTTTTTATTTAGCAGCTTGTCGGATACTTTTATACAAAGCTATAGCAACGCAACTACAAATCTGCTAAATTCACTGACTTCACCATTATCCCGTAAGGCATGGATGGTTAGGCCCATTTCAATCCCTGGGCGAGGCGGCGCAGCAACTTTTATCTGGGGCCACGTCTTCTTTAATACTTTTACGCCAAGATATAATTCGGCTCTGTTTCGCGTTCGGTGGCGGCGGCTGCTTGATTCTGAACCCCTCCTCATAGTTGCCATTCGGGATTAATCTAGGTGCCCCAACCAACTTATTGTTCAACAATCTTCATGATCGAGCCGACTGCCTCGCCCGACATTTCTGGCAACTGGTCCGGCATCGCCGCCGTCTCCAATGGCTCCCGGCTTGCTTCCTGATGTCGTCTTTCAAGTAGTCGGTGCCATCTCGTACGCTTTTTGGGTGGTTTCCGGTGATTTGGTTACGGACACACCCATTGATTCTAGGAAACTCGAGCAGGTAGCGGTGCAGGTACATCCGGTACATCTTGTCGGCATGCCGCTTGTACGTGTTCAACTCAGTGGGAAGCTGCTACAGTTGCGCCTGGGCTCAGACGCCGTTGCATTCCTTGGCCGTCGAGTCGAGCGTACCAAGCTAGAGGTGACGTGGATTTCAAAAGTCTTGTAAAAGGTCGAGTTGTCGCCGCTGTCGAGGGCGATGGACTAAACTGTCGAGTCGTTAATCACAACGAGAGTGGTGTTTCGAGGATTATAGTCCATATCGTAGACGATGATGTCGCTCAAGTCCTTGTTGGCGGCGCTTGTGAACCACATCCCGTCACTCGGTCGTGCTGCCCGGCACTTAATTTTTGGGTTTCGGAGCCGTGAGTCCAACTACACTGAGCTGCCGCCAGGTCTGGGGAGTCGTGGAGTGCCGGGCACGGGGACCAGGCTGGATAATGGATTTGAACGGCGGCACGGATGTCTTCCGGAGCATGTCCGGGAGAAGACCATCGCCAAAGGGTAATTGAGCTTTGCCCACGACTCTGTAGACAATATCAGAGTGCGGGACGACGTAGGCCCCCATGAACGTTGTCGCAAAGCCGTCGAACTTCAAGTGGGTTCTATTTGGGAAGACTGAAAAAAATGGCACTGTAGATGCGGACATCGGGAAGGGTGTGCATATCATTTAGATTCGTTACTACGATGGTGTATGCAGTACCGGAAGCGTCACTGCCGTCCATCACAGCGGTGTACTCAATTGTCCCGCTGCGAGCCAGCGAGAAAACGCCGCTCGCCTCACAGTCGATGTAGGAGGCTTCGCTGTAGCTGTAGCTCCACAAGCTTATGGGTGGTGTTCGTAATGACTCCAAGCTAACTGAGAATATACGGCTGCCCTTATGAACCGTGGCCAACAATTCAGCTACTTTTGTGCAGCATAAGATTCGAGAAGCTCAATATTGTCTCTGGGGTTCAAGCACACACAATGAGCTTATGTGTTCTCGTGTTTATCATGTTCCCTTCTCATCGTCATTGTGTCTATTTCAATGCGATTGGCAGCCTTGATTCAACTCCTCTTGAGCAAGCTGTTGAGCAAGCTGTCTAGCCCGGACATGCTGATGTCGTAGAGGCTCTGTTGCTACTGCGGGCGAGTGTTACACTGGAGACAGTGCGATGCGCAGCAAGAAATGGAGCCTGCGGCAAGCATTTGATGCAGCTCTCCTAGATAAGCAAGAGATTTATGGAATGTCACCGACACTTCTGCCTAAAGCTATTGTCGAGGCGGTATTTTTAAGCATCATACTTTATCCAGAATACTGGTCGAAGGTGATGCTCGAGGGCCCGAATACACCCCTGGCAGTACGTGACCTGTTTCACGTTTCGAACACATATTGTGTGGGTGGCCAAACTTAAAGAGGACAGTGCCAGGCGATTTTCCAGCTTGTTTCAGAGCCAACTGGCTAGCTCTGCTGAAACACATCGCTGCCTTGTTCGCACGAAACATTAAAAAAAAAAAAAAATTGCCATCGAACGTAGACCATGAACCCATGCACGAGCCAACATCATATGGCTTAGGGAACGAATTGGCAGGAATGCCGATAATAATAGATGTAGAAAGACTGAGATGTGAGACGATGGGTGTGGTTCCCCTTTAGCATCCCATGCTGTGTCCGCGCTGTCGAACATGCACGCAAATATTCGCACTGGCAAGTCAATGACGAGGTTACGAGAAATGTTTCGAAAGTTTCGCGTGGAGATGTCGCAGTTTGAAGATTGTCTGGCGTTCGTGTCTGGGGTCTCCGCGTGACGAGCCTATGCTCATCATTCCGCTTCTGTGTGGACCTTCTTTACTTGCCTACAGATGCACTACCTTATTAGCTTTATCATTCTGTTCGCCTATATACAGAGCTCTCATCTCCCGCTGATTTGCGGCCATTCTGCTCCAGCATTTGCCTAACGCTAACTATTGCGCCAAGGACCCCCAAAAGGTCGCAACCTCTCTCATCGCCTAATTGAATGATATATCGGATATGCATTACCTTAAAGTCTTCGCACTCGCCACTTCCTTTTCTGTCTGCAGCAACGCAGCTAATTCTTTCTTCGACGGCTCATTTTCTGGATTGTTTCCCGGATTCTCAGACCTGATTGGTGGTGGCGGCACTGGGGGTGGCCGACCGCCCTCCACTAACGCCATTGACAACGCCCAGCAGTCATGGCAACGAGACACTGGGATTGTGTCCCAGTTCCTGTCTACGGCAACATCCTTGCCCAGAAATCAAGTTCAGGCCGCAGCGTCTAGGGCATTGTCAGCGGAAAAAGACGAGTTGACACACAAGGAAGTCTTGGATCGCATGTTCCTCAAAGGTCCAAGACAGAATAGGCTCGCCTCCATTCGCCAGGCGCACAATGCCCTCGAAACCCAAGGCAACTTTCAACTGGTCGTGGACGGGCTCGATCAACTCGCTTCTCGCGGCGCACGCATGTCACCACAGCAGATGGAAAGAAAGATCACGTCCATTACCACTGGTAGATGCCAGAATGTTCTGCCAGCAATTGATGATTATTTTGCAGCGGCTGGAAACTTGGTTCAGTCAACGGGCACAAACTTGAAAGCTATTCGACCAAATAATTGTTAAATTAATCCATCTCATTTTCTTCCCGTCAAGCCTGTTGCCAATTTGGTGGTTGGGTAGCTAAATCTTGCTAGTTGCTCTCAGCGAGAGCTTCCTTCTTGGTGGTTGTAGTAAACGTCAAGTCTTGTAGGCCTTCTCAAGACTTAGTTTAGCCTAGGGCATGACGCCTGAGAAAAGCAAAAGCCATTCGGCACGGTATCAAGCGTCGTTCCATTTGCAAAGATGATACCGTCGAAATGATCTGATACCGAGGTAATTCCAGCAACGGCCTTCTTGGATCTGTTGGGCGGTCTCACCAGCGGGTTCTTGGACTTGCTAACCTTGCAGTTCTGGCTGACCATGTACAGGTTGAGCCCGCGCACAAACACCTGCATAGTCGGGTCGTAGTATTTTTCTGTGATTTGGTCGGTGCGGAACAGGCCGACAGCGTCGTGTAGAATCACCGTCGGGAACGTCTTTGGTGTCATGTAGTTCAGTCCGTAGTAGTAGAGCGTCGGGTTGGACTCATACACAGCCACAGGTTGGATGGGGTCGAGTACCGGCGTACACTGCCACTGCATAATGTAGTAGTTGTACACCTGCGAGCCGCTGCGATCATCTCGGTTTAAATTGCGCGTGAGAAAATAGACTTCCCAGATGCCGTTCCTGCCCGCGTACGCCTCTTGGGCCCAGACGTCGCTGCGGGCCAGCGCCGGCGGGCCAAAGAAGATACCTTGTCCGGACGCACAAATGTTTGGCCGTTGAGCTTGGGGTCGAAGCGTCCATCAATGAGCAGCAAGACGCACCCTTTCCCGTCATTCGCATTCATAAAGGTGCTAATAGGAAGCTCGTTAAGAGGTGTGTTGCCGGCGAGGTCCCCAGGGCAGCGATTGTGTATCGTCTCCAGCTTGTCGTAAAATTCCTTATTCTTGTCCTCGCTCCAGTAAGTACCGCCTTTGATACTCAAGTCTGTCATGTATTTAATGTACCATACAACAACCTCGCCTGGAAAGTCGTTAGAAAACCGGTTCATGCCGATAATCAAGTCGTCGAGAGATGGACCCGTCGCTCCGGCCGGAGTTTTTCCTAGCTCATCACTAACGTGGGCACCGTAGAACTTCCCATTGTTGACGCTAGAGATGCGCATATCGAAATAGCGGCTGCCGACTTTCAATTGATTATATAAATCCAGGCTTTGCGTTTCCGTGTGGTCGGCCGAGCCGAATCCCCACCAGCCTTCCATGGTGATGTTGTTCATAGCAGCGTCGTGTGAGCCTGGCACAACGACGTGATGCAGCTTTCGGTCTTTTATTACATCATACATGTCTTTCATCCAGTTGTATTTCCCAAACTGGAGTGAGGTGAAGAAGCCGTATTCTTTGCTCCCGCCAATCACAAGTGTCACCGGCCGCTGGGAGCTCGGGACCGTGTACTCCTTTGCACCCATACCCATGCCCTGGAGATCAAACCAGATACGCTGCGGAAATCTGACATCATCCATGTTTGTCGTCACGTGCACGTTAAACTTCTGGTTCGTGCCCTCAATCTCATAATAGGCATACCCGTTGGTGGTTGTCAGATCCACACCAGCCTGCTGATACCAAGCGTCGTTACGCCTGCCCTTGCCGGACGGAATGTCGTCAAAGTCCCACTTATAAAACTGATATGGTTTGGGGCCTCCAACATGCTTGAAGTTGTGAGGTGTCAGGTTCACAATGGTTGCGTAGGCGGGCATATAGGAAGTCGCGTTCGAGCTGTTGCCCAGTGGACCACCGCGGCGTGAAAGGCCGACAAGCCCTGAAATGTCATATTTCGGCCACTCTCCCTCGTAGTAGAAGTAATCGGCACTATCGCACTTCTTCTCCTCTGGGCTTGTAGGGGGCTTTCCTTTCGACGGCACGTCGTAGAGGCTGATGTGAGCCCACTGAGGATGGCTTGTGACAGCCTGGTTTTCATCGGATGTAATCTTAGTCCCATCGCTGCTGACGATCATGTTCTTAGCTCCTATAGATATCACCTGCTGTATGCGAACGTTGTCATAGTTGGAGCTCAAGTATATGAGTGACTTCTGGCAGCTATGCTTGTCGATGCATTCCTGAGTGTAGGTGCTGAACCATGAATAGACTCCAGCAGAACCAATGAGAACGTTGGATAATTCCGTCATGACCACCGCCCATGATGAGTCACAGCCGTTGAAATCATCAGCTTCCTTGCAAGAGTAGTCAGGATCTCCGGGAAAAACCCCAACATTATTTGTGAACGGCGCTGGTGGTTTCGGCGTTGGCTGGAAGTACGCGGATTCTGTCTGCAAAAACGTAGTGACAATATTGCTAGCCCTGTAAAAGTTGTACTGGTAGAACACACTATGCTCAGAAGCTGTGCCATAGAGAAATGTGGCCTTTTGGCTTTCGACGAGGATTCCACGGGCGCTATACACAGAGAGCTGCTCCATGTTGTTTTGCGCATCTTCAAGATGAGGGTCATCGATTTGATGGTCGGCCACCCATGCCCAAAGGTTGTCGAAGTAGCCAGAAGCCTTTGGTGTAATGTGAAGCAATAGACTGGCGACCTTGCATGTGTCGGGATTTGTGCCAGACTTGGAAGGGGGGCATTCAGCCGGCGTGAGCTGTGTTCCAACAGCGCCGCCAAGACGAATGTGAACATCCCACAGCGCGGCATCGCCATTCGACTTGGCCTGGATGTTCCATTCCATAAGGACAACACCAGGAGTAGGGCCTTTACTTGTGAGTATCAGGTCCTGCATCTCTATATTGCCCACATCGCCCTCGTTGCCAACTCTCAGCATGACCTTTGGCTTGTCGGCGTTGGAGAAAACGTCGCCATAGGCAGCGGATTGGGACCAGGTTTCGCCCACTATTCTCACGCCACTGGGGATTATCACCGTATCCTTGAGAATGTATGTTCCGGCGTCGATGTATATGATTTTACTGCCGCCTTTATATTTGTTGAAGACACTTTGCACAGCTTGAGTATCATCTGTCGATCCATCTCCCTTTGCGCCCTCATCCTTGATGTGTACGAAATCTGAAGCTGACTTGTCTTTGTATTGGTTTCTGGCTCGTTCATAGAATGTGGCAACGTCAAGACCAGAGACTTTGTTGCCTAGAACAGAGGCTTCTCTTGTATAATTTAGAGGCGCATTTGTAAAGGAGCGGGTGTTATTTTTGTAAATAGATCCCATTGCATACTTGACAACGTTAGCGTGCTTTTACGTATTCAGCATGCCATCTTGTTAGGATGACTTACATACCGATAGTAGCCAGAGTCTAGAATCTGCTTGGAACTGCTGTAACCTTTGATTGGTGCCGCTAGTTTGACATTATCCAGCACCAGACCAGTAAAGCCGGAGTCCATCTTGTCTTGAGGAGTCGCCATTTCAATGGACGCTTCCTTGATATCGGAAAACATCGAATCGAGGAATGTGGCGGATCCAGGAATCTCGTTACTGACATCATTGTAAAGACGGAAACCAACTTTGGCATTTCTGACAGTAATGCACTTCCAGACCCATCCCCAATTCCAGATTAACTGTACTGCAGTGTTGCAGCCATTGAAGGTGAGTCTAGTTGCGCTGAACTGCTGGCTTCCACCATCTGTGTCGACGGTATTAGCGCCTGACCTAATTGAGGGTCTTTTAAAGGCCTGTCATTACATGCCCGGGACATACTCACAAACAACTGGGCCAAGTGGTGATGGCTTGGTAGCTCACTTACACCCAAGAACGTTATGAATTTGCCCAGGTGATGTAGAGGAAACGCGGAGCGGAGCTCTACAATACTCCTATAAGTCAAAGAAAAAAGGCGCAAAGATTCAAGGATCATGTACAAGGCCGTCCTGCCCATGCCGAACCGCGGCGCACCAGCTTGTTACCCTTGGATTCGATCTTGCGCCTATGTTTTACCAAAGCTACAAAAACAACCGGCAGAAGTCTTGTTAAAAAAAATTAGCCCAAAACATTGCTGTAGTGCAGACGTAACTGCAGCGAGTGTAGTAGACATGTGCCTGTTCATCCAGCTGAAACTATTTGACGTGTCTATCTTATCTAGCGAATTTGGTGTTGATCAATGCAAAAATTTACATGCGCTTGTCAAGAAAACTCGAGGACATTTTTGTAGCCACGAGCATCTTCATTCTTGGCTGTCGGGTCAGAGAGGTCATGCATGCAGCCATCCATGTATGGACCTGATCGCTCAAGGTTTCGACATGAGCGGCACGGCGGGCCGCTTCTCAAAGGCGGGCACGTCGCTGGCAGAGTCTCACTTGATGGCAGCAGCAAGTACGGAACCAAGATGACCTTGGCTCCCTCAAGTTTGATCATGGTGAAACCCGGCTCCCACTGCATCGAATTCGAGGAGATAATAATGACGAGCCTGGTGGCTTCGTCGTCCCAGCAGTAAACTTGATTTCGGCACATGTCAAAGATGGGCCAAGTTGTGAGAGCATTTAGGTCATTTCGCTCCAAAGCAAGACCCCAAGTCGCGCTGCTTATCTTCAGTGTCGAGTTTATCTTCAGTGTCTAGGAGATACCTACTCCAAGAAAGGGAAGGACTGTGCATTAGCTTCTTAGCTGTGTTGACTTTCCTTTTCTTCTTCTTTTCCTTTCTTTGGTTAACAAAACATACCTTCACCATTGCTTTGAACAAGGGCTGCTGTTGAACCATCCAAAAAGCATCGCACTAGTGGCGCTGATCCCCGGTGCCCGCCCCCATGTAAACGGCGCTATTTGGAGGTTTAATGCAGGCTGCACGGATGTATGCATCAATTGTAGTCGATGATATTGGCCAACGCAGCTTCCTCTGATTAGAGAGACAGTGTTCTTTCATGTTTTACCAGCAAATCCGACTGTAATGCTGCTCGGAATTATCTGGAGACACTCTGTACAACAGCAAGATGGGTATGAATGCATAGATAGGTATTGCTTGGCTGCTTTCGCTGTTCAGCCAGAGGGTCACTATCACGGCGCTAACCGAACGCATCAAGGCCGCTGTGGAGGCTGCATCTCGCGACGGCGGTACGAATACGTACAGTGGGTTGTAGGTGCACTTTTAGTGGAATGCTGTAGGTCGGTGGCGCTTTTTTTTATTTTTTTATTTTTTTTTTGAGCGCCTGCAGTGTCTTATTAGTGGCTGCTTTCAGAGGCCTCTTGTGGCCTTCAGGCATTGTAGGTTAGGTAGGCTGTTGCCAATAGCTTGGAGCACGACGCAGGGATGCATCTTCCCACATGCGGCACGTGCAGTCTACAGCGCCTTGATAGGCTCAAGTGCTCAAGCTTCTACCCCCACCACGCTAGCATCTCTCGTTCTCAACACCAGCTTCAAAGATACCCTCACGACTTGCAGCACCTTGGTGGGTTTGCCAGCCTGCGCAATTTTTTTCCTTGCTGTATTGATATCAGGTCTGTCCAGTTGGTTCCTCTTCTTTATCCTGTCCTATTTTTATCAATCGCAAGGCTTGCATCGATCGCTTTATACCAGTCTCGGTCGCGAAACACATCAGTGACCTAGTCGCTTCAAGGTCGAGGTAGCACGTAATTTTCACCTTCGACAGCCACTTCCCTCACCGAACCAAACCAATTGACGAGCTATATTATCGTATCTCATCACCGCGCTTCTCGACACGTCCTCCACTATGCGATTTGGCAAGACTCTTCGCGAGTCCATCAACGGGCCTTGGAAGGACAAGTACATTGACTACAACAAGCTCAAGGCTCTCCTCCGCGAAAACAAGTTTGACGATGACAACGAGGTATGGACCGAGGACGACGAAAATCGCTTCTGCGACGAAATCTTCAACGTCCAGCTGGAAAAGGTTGCCAAGTTTCAGGAGGAACAAGTCTCCCTCCTCAAGGACCGCGCCGACGCCGCCTTTGCCAAGCTCAAGAAGCTTGCGCCCCCGGTGTCCGCAGACGGTTCTGCGCCCCCGGCCGTCGACGATGCCACCAAGGCCAGCTTCAAGGAGCTCGAGTCTGAACTCGACAGCATCATGAACCAGGTTAAGGAGCTCAAGAAGTACAGCTCCATCAACTACACTGGCTTCCTCAAAATCGTCAAAAAGCACGATCGCAAGCGCGGCGACCGCTACAAGGTCCGCCCCATGATGCAGCATAGTCTCGCCCAGCGTCCTTTCAACTCGGAACAAGGCTACTCTTCGCTCCTCAACAAGCTATCCATCATGTACTACGCCATCCGCCAGCAGCTCGACGACGACCCTACCTTACCCATTGATCTCGAGACCCAAGGCGAGACACTCAATGGCGAGCTCTACACGGCTCACAAATGCAAGTCACGATCCAATCATGAGCATCACTCGGTACTAATACTTGGCAGTCTGGATTCACCCCGACAACCTCCTCGAAGTCCGCACTCTTATTCTCCGCCATCTTCCCGCCCTCATCTACAGCCAGCAAACTTCCAAGGAATCCGACGGCAGCGAATCGCCCACCGTGACATCTCTTTACTTCGACAACAAGGGATTTGAGCTCTACAATAAAAAGGTTGACAGCAGTAAGGGTGCTGAGTCGCTCCGTCTGCGCTGGTACGGCCAGCTTAGCTCCAAGCCCGACATTTTCGTCGAGCAAAAGGTCGCCGATGGCACGGGTGAGAGCCACGAGTCAAAGTTTACCATCAAGGACAAATACGTTACTCCTTTCCTCGCCGGCGAGTATTCTATGGAAAAGACCGTCGCCAAGATGGAGCGCCAGGGCCAGTCCGCCGAAACTGTCGCCGAATATAAAAAGACTGTCAACAACATTCAAAGCTTTCAGCAAAAACACAAGCTCGCACCCATCCTGCGCGCCAACTACCTGCGCACCGCCTTTCAGAAACCCGCCGATGACCGCATTCGAATTTCCATCGATACCGATCTCGCCTTTATTCGCGAAGACACCCTTGATACCGAACGTCCATGCCGCAACCCCAACGACTGGCACCGTACCGACATTGACGACAGCAACATGACCTATCCCTTCCGCAATATTAATCAGAGCGAAGTCTCCAAGTTCCCATATGCCGTCCTCGAGATTAAGCTTCGCGAGGATGCCAACCGCAAGCGTCCCGTCTGGGTCGAAGACCTGCTGGCTTCTCACCTCCTCCACGCTGTGCCGCGCTTCTCCAAATTCGTGCACGGCACGGCCTCTCTCTTCGAGGACCACGTCAATGCACTGCCATTTTGGCTCAGCGACTTGGAAACAGATATTCGCAAGGACCCGCAGCTAGCTTTCGAGGCCGAGGAACAACGCCGCGCCCAGCGTGCTGATGACGCCATGGCCGTCGGCAGCCTCATCGGCACTCTTCCCTCGTCCTACAAGGCTGCCAAGAGCTCGTCTGTCGGAAAATCGTACCTTGCCGATCGCATGGCCGCCGAGTCACGCGACCAGCAGGTCAAATCACTCCATCACCGCAGCAGCGTCGCCGCTCCCCCCGAGGAAGAAGGCGAAGGCAGCGCCGCCGCTGCCCACAATGGCTACGGCACCCTCTCCTCCGTAATTCCCGCACTCTCCCTCTCCAAGTACGCCAAGGCCAAGCGCGCCCAGCGCTTCCAGCTCCCCGAGGGTGTCATTGAGCCCACCGAGTGGATCAAGAATGCCGGCGAGCTCAAGGTAGAGCCCAAAGTGTGGCTAGCCAACGAGCGAACATTTCTCAAGTGGCAGCACATTTGCATCTTGCAGGGTACCCTAGCTCTTGCTCTATACACGGCGGCGGGCGAAAACACCACTGCCTCTGTCTTTGGTGTCGTGTATACGTGCATTGCTGTCTTTGCTGGCGCGTGGGGGTATGCTATGCTACGCGCGCGCCGAAGCATGATCATTGAGCGCAGCGGTAAGGATTTTGACAATATGGTGGGACCAATCATTATCAGTGTGGCGTTGATTGTGGCTCTCATCGCCAACTTTGTCATCCAGGTGCGTATTCATACCTCTAATCTATTCATTGACTGAGATTGACTTTTGGATGGAATCAACAGTACCGCAAGGCTTTTGACAAGATGCGCCACCGTCATCCCGACACGAACCTGCATAATTTTTCTGTTTCTCAAGATGAGCTTCGATGATTGATGCTTTTCATGCTTTGTTAATGTACAACTCGTGTGATGATACATCCAACAGGGGATAGAGGGAGAAAGGGTGATTCAAAGAATCACCGGAGTTACTTGTTTCTGTATTTTCGGTCTTTCTGCTTATTTGTGCAGAGAGCATCCGTTCAATGTTCCAACTGCTGCCAGGACTGAACCAGCTTGGCTTACCAAATAGCTCTTCAACATTTGAGTATCGCCTCGTCTCTGGCTTTATCAAGATTTGTTCTGTTGGATAGGTTCAGTGGACAAATGGTGGTTACATTTTGACTCACGCCGCTTTTTGCCAGACTTCGTTGCAAATTCTTCTCCTTGCCTCCATCATGGCTTGACCAGCTTCATATTGTGTCTTTCGTCTTCTCTTGCTCAACTAGAAGTCTTTGCCTCAGGTAGCAGCAGTCATATCACAGCTCCTCACCACAGCGCTGCTGGGCTTCGCATAGGCACAGTATTATCGTTGGTTGATCAGCTCACGAATGAGCTGCCATCAGTGTCGCAGTCAATATAATGGACGTATTCAATTGTGAAAAAAATTGCCGCCTGCGCAACACATGACACAATTACGAGACTGACGGCGGCACCGCTCTCACCCAACAACTGAGACATGTAGTCAAAACAATAACATGAAATCAGCAGAGACTACCCCAAACGATGTGCTGTCTTGTTGACTTCCTTTCTCATTCCCTTTGTATCCCCGGCGTCGCCTCCCTCGCATCTTTCCATGCTCGCGTCTGCATATGCAGCAAACAAAGGACCGCGCACTGTGGGCCAGTCAACATGCAACGAACGGCCCAGTGGCTGCCGCTCTGTGTTATCAACACAGAACAACACCGCCCGCTGACTTCACTCTTGCCGCTCACAATAACGTCTCGCCGCCTATCACCCGTCGCCACTTGGCTCACCACACACATCTCAGTGCTTTTCTCAGCCGGTTTTCTGTGACGTAGCGATACCCTGCCCGCAGCCAGCGCTTGCAAGCAATCAGTGTACTGCGCGCGCCGCGTCATGAATGCACGACAGACTACACGTGCCACTGGGAGGCCGGCGAAGTTAAAACAAGTGCTCTAAACTTAGCGCAGGGCATTTGTAAACCTCGCACTACTAGACTTTGGCTTTCTGGTCATTGCATCTGGTGCAGACCAGTATTGGGAGAGGCGAGCAATGGAAAGCACGACTAAGAAAGCCAGTGGATTCTGGGGAGGCCTCTTGAGGCGAGGCCGTAGCAATGCGAAGCCCAAGGCAAGCTCAACTTGACGAGTGCCCCTTTCAAACTCGGACTGCCAATGCTAATGCGACAATCATTTTGCCAGCCAAAAGTTGACGCGCACAAAACAAAGACGGCTCCGATGCGACCACGTCGTCCACCGCCAGAGACGTCGTCCATGGCGCAACCACGCGATGCCGATGCGCGTCCGCGCCGACGACGAGTCACCAGGTTTAGCGACGATGACACCGACGTCGATGCCCCCGCCCCGCAGTCGCCTCTGACGCCCCTCAGCGAATGGCCGCCAGCTGGCATGAACCCCCGGCAGGAGCTGTCCCGCGAGCAGGCGATTGCGCTGATCGCGCGAGGTGCACCGTCCCATAAGGGCTACCGGCGCGCCGTGCCGTATGTCTCTCAGCAGTTCTTTGCCCTGTATGCGGCATCATCGGGGAATCGAGGTGACGAGGCCACGGATCGTGTCAACTTGCACGATGCCATGGTGCAGCTCATGACCTTTCGCATGGCTGGGCCAGGGGAGATATCCTCACCCTGGAGCACGCTGGAGCAGCCGAGCTGCGCGTACCTGCACGGCGCACGACCGGGGACCATTACCTTGAATCACTGGGCGTCGATGGTGAGCGAGTTCCCGGAGCGCATCACGCTGCGCGACCCCGGTATTATCCCGAAGGCCCTCACACTGGAACAAGTCTTTGAACGACTGCGGGAGCTGCAGGTTGAGCCCGAGGACCTTAACGAGAGAACGCTGTATCGGACACTATACAGTAGGATCTTGCGCGATCCGGACCGTATATTAAATCCGCGAAAGAGTTTAGAAAAGCAAATCACTGATCTCATCATGGCGCTCTCGCGGCCGCACTGGATTGACTTTACAGACCCCAAGAATCAAGTGGTGACGCGTTTCATCTTTGACCCTTTTCCGGAAGACCACGACAGGTATCTCGCCTTCTTTCATCAGTTACTGCTCAGCATGGAGCTGAATGCGCGAATACACAACAAGCAACACAGCGACTATGCCAAAGACAAGCTCTTGCAAAAAATGCCTCCCACGATACGATGGAACCTAGCACTCGCGAGACGCTGGAGCGATTATATACGAGTCCACAGCTACGGGCCAACTGTGGATGATATTAAACTTCGGTTCAGGCTCAAAAGGCGACAGGTGAAGATGCTAAAAAGGTTCGCAACCAGGTTGAAATGGCCGAACCTTGACGAAACCCTCAAAGCACTCAGAGAGTCCAGAGACGAGCCAGACTCTAATGCAGTGAGCTCCGATGCTTACGCATTTTTCAGCGGCCTCGTCCTCCCAGGACCAACGTTCCCTTTCATCATCATGAATACCCTCATCGACACTGACCCTGACGAGGCTACTGATGAACTGGCCCTGCTCTCGCACCTGCATCCCAGCTGCGGCTTTCAGTACCGTAATAGCTACACGTACTGGACGACGACCAGCATTGTGGGGAAAGTGCTGGCGCCAACGTGCGGTGCGCTCGCAGGCTGGGTCGGGCCGGCATGTCCGACGGCAGATCTCGGACGGTCCCAGATTGCGCGCATCCGCGCCCGCAAGCCGAAACAAGTCCTGCAGCGTGAAGATGTCGAGAGCATGGGGGAGAGGTCCGACCCGCTGGGTCCGCCGTCGGCAGTTTTTCGCATCGATGAATATGTGCTAGTGACGCCGGAAGCGAGTCTTGGCGCACCGCTGAATACAGTCCGTCTAGAGCTCTTGACGCTGCGCGAGGTGCCGGCACCGGATCACATCAAAACACCTTCTGGGCCGAAGCTATTCGATGCAAGGGTACAGGTCGCTGTGGATGGTGTCTCCTGGCCGTTGCGGCTGGCGTACGATGTGTCATTTGTTAACGCCTGGCCGTGCTCAGATGGCCCGCATCCACTTTTCTTTGATTACATCTACAGACGCATCGCCGTAGAAGATATCTTGGGAGTCAAAGATTGGGGCGGGCTCTATAAGAAAACCAGTAACACGAGAAGCGCAAGATCTACGCCGATGCCACTTGTACATGGCACGAATGGAAATGTTGCAACCGATGATATTCAGCAGCAGGACGATGATGAAGTTCTAGTTGTCGAAGCTTTCGGGGTGCCAGACCACGAAGTGCTAGCCAGAGCATGGTGTGCACACTGGGGCCTGAGCGCGATGGTGGCCGATATAGGCAAGACTTGGTAAGTTGTCGAGAGATTCTAGCCTCAACGTAGGAGGAACATGATGCTGACAAATGATAGCATGTCATGCGCGATTCGGGAGTGTTACGCAGCTGCGCTGGCGGTGTTGATATTGGTGGACGACGCGAATAACCGCAGCGGGGACGACCAATGATGCCTTTGATTCGCTAACTTGATTCCGCGACGAAGTTGTCACGACGTTTTGGGTGGCTGAAGATTGTGTACAGGCAAAGGGCGAGATCAACGGAGTATATACGGGGCGTTTGTCGGTGCGTTGTTTCTACTATGGCAGGGGTATCAGATAGCTATGCCTTGGTTCAAGCCATTTGAATGTATTCAAAGAGGCTGTTGCCACATGTGTGCAAAGATGATAGAGTGGACAAGTCCCGGCTCTGAGGCTGGGTTTTAATACCTTTGCTGACTCGAGTGGGGATGGATAGTCAAGTCTCCAACACATACTGAATACGTACTGGCAGGTCCAATAGCAACAATTGAAAATCATGGAAACATTTCATTCTGGCATAATACATCTTGTTCTCTTTTGATGCACGTTCTCTGTCACGCCGAATGCAGCCGTAATGCAAGTCCAAAGATGGTGACGGGCCCTGCAAAGGCTGGCATCTGAGCTCGCCCGTTACTACCGACTACCATCTTACTGTAGAGGTACAGCGTCACGGAACAAAGCACCAAAGCTATGGATTGGTTAGCATTTCCAGAGTTTCTGGTATCGTCGTGGCAAACTCACCTAGCCGGGTACCGATCACCAGGCAGGTCTGTCGCCTCGGCATATTTGCGTAGCTCCGCAACCTCCTCCGCACTGAGCTTGACGTGTATCGCGTTGACGTTTTCCTCCAGGTACTTTATCGTCGTGGTGCCCGGGATCGAGATAAAGTCGTCGCCTTGCGCTGCTACCCACGCTAGGCAAACCTGCGCCGGTGTCGCGCCGTGCTTGTCGCCAATGGCACGGATGCGGTCCACCAAAGCCAGAATCTTGGGAAAGTTGGCCTCGCCAAACTTGGGCACTGCCGCGCGAAAGTCGTCCTTGGCCAGTTGCGCGTGCGACTTGACCGCACCTGTCAGGAGTCCGCGTGCCACGGGGCTGTATGCGACAATGGCGATGCCCAGCTCCCGGCACGTCTGCAGAATTGCATTCTGGGGAGACTCAATGTCGAGGAAGAGAGGGTTGTACTCGACTTGGTACGCGGTAATGGGATGCACGGCATGCGCGCGGCGGATCGTGGCTGCGGAGCATTCCGACAGTCCGAGGTAGCGAATCTTGCCCTCGCTATACGCAATGTCAGCATATTGTGATCAAGGGGTCAAGTTTGAAACGGCAGCAGATTTTGACGTACGCCTTGAGCTCGGCCATGGCCTTGACGGTATGTTCAATTGGCGTCTTGTCGTCCACGCGATGGCAATAGTACAAATCAATGGTTTCGATGCCGAGCGTTTCGAGACTCTTGGCGCAAGCCTCCTTGACGTACGCCGGGTCATTGTCGAGGACGCGGCCCTCGGGCGTGTTGCGTAGGGCAAACTTGGTCGCAAGAAAGATGTCATTGCGCTTGCCAGTGCGTTTGAACCAGGCTCCGACGCGCGCTTCACTGTTGGTGTAGACGTCGGCCGTGTCCCAGAATCGCTCACCCAGCTCATAGGCGCGATCGAGGAAAGCGAGCGCCGTCTCCTCGCTCGTGTCCTGCTGTTTGTACCATCCCGCAAAGGACATGAGGCCCAGCCCGATGCCAGTTACCTGGGGGCCATTGCGTCCGAGCGTTCGTGTGGGAAGAGACATGTTTGGTTTTTGTACGTGGAAATTGCTTGGTGCTCCGTGTTGTAAGTGTTGGTTGTTGTCGGTCGGGGTTGCGAATGTTGAAAGGCCAGAGAGCTGTGCCCGTCAACAACTTGAATTTATACTTGGCCACTGGCTCTTGATGCTGAGAAACTCAAACAGGCGGAGAAACGGAGTTTGTTTGCTGCTTCCCTTGGCAACTGATGTCATGAAATATTGCCTTGCACACTACGTACAGCTAATGTACTCTAAACTCTTAAAGCCGAAAGAGCTTTGCTTCTAAATATTTGGCGCTGGCTGTCGTGGATGGCGACGCTCCTTGGAGCTACAGTGGGTTGTAGCCTGTACCTTGGTAGGCAGACCTTTAGCTCCACCAGCCCGCCCAATCGCTTCTGCGGGGAGAGTCCTACGGGGATGGATCGACATCGGAATGGAGATGTTGTTAACTCCGGGGCATAAGGCCGCGACAGTCGGTTGAGAGGTAGCTGTTGCAGCGGATTCTCGAATTCCGTCTTGTTCTTCGCATTGTATTCATGAATCACTTCAGGCATGTAGCTCTTGCTATATCCGACGCGTAGTCGAGGCTGCGGACTTTGATAGTGGGCGGCTTATGATCTTTACGGTCGAGCAACGAGCTGAGTTGTACCTAGCTAGACACTTTGCTAGCGTGCACCAGTGTCTTATTGCAAGTGAAACTGCCTGCCTCATTTGATTCAGCCTTATTACTTGTTGTGGCTTGTGACACAACTGCCGAATGGCACGGCAGTGATGAATCGGTAAGTGGGGGCACATTCTAGAGTTCACAAAAACATGGTGAGGCGATAGTTGGATCAGTAAGGTCGACACAGTGTATCCGGAAACGAACAACAATAAGCCATAGTTGGAATTCTCGCCAATTCTCGTACTGTGACTAATGCCTAGTCTTTTGCCAGTTGACATAACGGAACAGAAATCCGATACAAGTTTCAGAGTCTATGATACCGGGTAGATTGACCTTGAGGAGCAGCCCTACATTTACTCGCAACAAACGCCGGCTGAGCCCAAACACGGCACAAAAACAACACCGGCCGATAATGTTTTGGGTTCAATATTCAAACAAGGCACTCTGGTAGAGTCCTAGCCAGGTTCTTGCTCTCGATGGAAACGAGTATAACTATTGCACCAGGCTTCCCCGATTATTGACCGCCTGTGCCACGACCAGCAGCCACTACGACGAAGGCATGTGGAGAAAGCCAGGCGCCAAGAGGTAGCAAAACGCCGCACTTCTCACCCTATCGTCGTCCTTGATGGTGAGCCTCCCACTCGGCAGCGCATGTCGCGACTCCATATTCGATCCCGAAAGCTGCAACCCCTTGCCAGCCTATGATGGCCGACACACAGCCGACAAAAGACAAAGAAGGGTTCGACGTGGGCGAGTTTCTGTACGTCTTTGTTGCGCTGTCCCCCCCCCCCCCTCTTACCCCTGATGAGCGGCCTCACAGGCCTGTTGCTCTCCCGTCCAGGCTGACAAGCCCCCTCAAGGCAAAAGAACCTCACCAAAGGCGAATTGGCCTTGAAGCGTGCTGTCGGGCTCGGCACTCAACCTAATGTTGTGCCCGAGGGCGAGCCGGTCCACGATGGAGAGCCACGCCCCGTCGAGATTGGCTGGCATCCCGTCGGCGGACTTGCTGGCAAATGGTTCGCCAACAATACAGGTCTCGGCAAAATGATTACAGAGAGGATCAACAAGTACCCTGATCCCACACAACACTGGGCTGTCCTCGTTGGCGATTACGTCCACCAGCTCTGGATGGATGAGAACTTTCACGTCATCTACATCAACAACAAGATTAATCGCGAGGAGTGGAAGACTTTCAGCGTCGGCCAGACGCGCTTCAATGACGATGCGTTGCGGCGCGCCGGCGAGATGGTCATTACCACCATTCGCGAAAAGACACCCGCCTACAACCTCATCTCCAACAATTGCCAAACCTACGCTCTCCAGCTGCTGGACGCCATCAAGGTCGGCGCGCGCAAGGAATTCGGCACCACGCTCGCCGTGTATGATCGCATGTTTGGCCCTGGTAATGTCGCAGATCTGTTCAACAAGGACGGCCACATGCCATCTAGCGGCACCGATTCGGCTGTCCCACCGCCCAAGGACGACGACGAGAACACTGTTGGGCTGGCTCAGCAGCTCATGCATGACAACACAGCGCAACTCGACACGCATGAGCAGATGAACAAAGATAGGGGTGCGCTCACCCCACCCAAGGAGGCGGCAGAGGCACAGGTCGGCGAGAGTAACGAGGAAAAAGGCGATGGCGAGAAACGGGCGAGTAAGAGCAGCGAGGTAAAAGCGCAGATCAAAAACATCTTTGGCCGCTTCTCGCGAAACAAGTCTTGATGACGGCTCAGGACATGATTCTATGACTTATGATAGAGGTGTCCAATATGTGATGAATGAATAGCATGACGTTGGTCCCAACATTTTCATGATTCAGAAAGGCGCCTTGACGTGGCGCGGTGATTTGTTTATTTCAAATTTCTCGAAAGCTCAGGGCCGAGACAGAGCACGATTAACGACAATAGACGTAATAGAAGTCCTGCATCGCCGTCAACGTCAAGCGATAGCAAATAAGCATAGCCTTACGCACGCGAGTGGGCTTTCAGAGAACAATGCTCAGGCTTGGCAGCACAAACGCCCGGAGATCCATCAGGCATAGGGCTGTGCACGGGACCAGCGAGGGTTTGCCAATGCAACATATAAGGTTGGCCGACTAGTGCGTGTCGCCGCAAAAAAAATGTATTGCGCCTCCTCGGTGTTGGATGAAGAAAAAGTTGTTAAAAAAAAAGAAGAGAGAAAAGACCAAAAAAAAAAAAAAAAAAGGCCGGTCTAGAGGCCCAGGCTTGCTAGGATAAATATCAAGTAGATGGCACATCAGCATGCACAGAGATGAGCCAATTGGAGCGCAATCAAATCTCAAATCTCACCTGCAGCGCAGGGGTTCGCTTTCCCCTCTTGCTGACCAGCGGGATCCTCTCACAGTCACAAAACGGCCTCGCCGTCTCTTGGTGAGCACGTTGGCAAGTGAAAAAAAAGTTTATTTCCTTTCCATGAGGGTTTAAAGGGAAAACGCGAGCACCGCCACGCTTTGTTTTTGCCCACAACTTGAGCCTTGTTTATTGCAAGGCTAAGAATGAAGGCAGTGTTGTTAGCGGCGGTGGGGTGTGCCTGTCGAGGTCCTCGCCTCCAAGCCTCTTTCACAAGTTGGGTTACAACAACACCAATAAGTTAGCTCAGGGGGCTATAGGCTCCCGTGCGTGTCAACGTCGACCACCGGAATTCTGATTTTATTCAGTAGTAGAGGGTAAGAGTCTCAGTACACCTCAAATTTCATTCGTCCTGTGAGCTGATTTTTTTTTTTTTTTTGCTTTTCAGGATTAGGCCAGTCAGCCACACTTGCAGCTAAAAGGTTGCCCAACTTCCCCTCCTTCTAGACTTGCCGTCTACGAGCATTTCTTTCTCTCGAACCAGATCACAGGCCCAAATGCGGCCCGTCAGCATTAATATTGAATACAGCCATGCGGAATGAAGCTAGCGCACTTTCGCCCCAAATTCCAGGCTCGCAAAATCCGTGATAGGCAAGATTACGTCGCCTTCTCTTGTTCGGCTCCTCTCCCTCGACCGGGCCACATATTGGGGCGGCTCGCAAGCCCAATAAGCAACCAGCAAATGCCAGCGATTCAGGGCCCTTGTGGGGATCAGATACGGTTTGGGGCACAAAACGAAACGACTTATTATTATTACTCCGTAATCGTCTGTACTGCCAGCACTAGTCAACGTGTGCACCGCTTTATTGCAGGCGCCTCCAAGGTGGTTCTAGCCCGCAAGGGCCACAACCCGGGCGTCAAATGCAGCAAGGACGCGTGGACAGTGATCTGCGCTAGCTGAAAGGGGTAGGCGTTCCGTTAAAAGTCCCTGGCTCATCTGAGGCCAACTTCTGGCCTTCTGGGTCCCTTTCGACCTACAGCCCACTGTAGCAACCCAGTCAGCTAATGAGATTGCCAGCCGGCACACCTCTTCCGACCACCAGTCTCGCCAGCTGCCCTGTAGCCAAGCCATACCCTCGGCTCCATCCGTATTCCAACAAGCGGCATCTCTGGGCCGATTGTCCATAATATTTATGGGCTTCATTTCTTATTCGCCAAGTAACTAACCAACTACCGCTGGCTCACCCACAAGTTACAACAGTTGCCCGTTCCACTCTGAGGTGGGCGTGCTCGTAAATCGCATTGTCGTCGGTTTCCACCCCTCTCAGCCTCTCTGTACGGAGCAGGTAGGGCTGTGCTTACTAGGATGACTGCTCTTGTGTTTGCATTGTGACACCCGCGTCGACAAGTAATTTGCTGGGGGCGCTGAGCCCTGTGACAACATTCAACTTGTGCATGTCCATATGCGACCCCTATCCCCGTGTAAATAGGAAGCTGACGCCCATCCTCAGCCTCTGCTGGCCTCAGCTTCTGCTGATTCTTTCCTTTCCGTCTTCGACTTTTTCTTCTACCTTTTCCTCGTGAGAACGCCCCTTTGAGACATTGATTCGTCAACATAAAATACATTCGCCTTCTTTTTTCTATCCCATGTCAGCCGGCTAGATAGCGACTTTCAAATCGGCCTCATCTCGCCCAGTTGGCCCGCGGCTGGCGATATAGCCTCATCTCGCGACATTTCTAACCCTTCTCGATCGATTATACCTACTTTTACATTTTAATATCCGCATCCCTTTCTACACGTCGACAAGATGGCGGGGCACGGCCATCACAAGGGCCTGCATCTAGGGGAGCTCATCAACGAGCTCATCTCCTCCCTGGCGCCCTTCTCCGGCCTGATCTTGACCGTCACCTGCTGCATCATCGCCCTTATCCGACTTTACGTCCTCGACCCTTTCATTCCCAAGATTTATCCACGCAGGGTCCTCCGCAACGTCACAAGCGCCCAACTGCGCAGCTTCACCAATCATCATGTCGCAGCAGCCACCAAAATTCTGCTAGTCGTTCTCTGCGCTTATCCTCTCCTCGCCATTCTTTGTGGCAAGGCGACGCCTCATACTCCCTATGCCAAGGGCTCTCCCGTCACCCTTGGTGACATGATGATTGTCTCTTCCCAAATTTTCTGTGGCATGTACATCTTCGAGCTCTTCTTCCGCGAAAAGGTCTCCCTCATCAGTTGCGCACACCACATTGGTGCTATTACAATTGCTCAGGCTGCAATCGCAATGACTATCAATTTTGGTCACGAAAGAGACGCAGTGTACGAGTTCATCCTATGCTTCATCTGGGGTAAGCTGCCTACATGGTTTTGAATTCGACAAAGGGCCGCCTGACTAACATTTGCTAGGTGCATTCGATGTTATTGCCGAGCTTTGGCCTCACTTGGCCATGATCGTTTATCGAACTCATAACGATAACCATGCGCTACTCTCCAGGATTTTCTACGCAACGGCGATTCTCGAGGTGGTAGGAACTACTACCGAGACCGCCATCATCATGTTCCTTTTTGGCTCGCTTTGGGACAAGTGGTCTCTGTCCCTCAAGATCACGACGCCCTTTCTACACACGCTATTCTCGGCGGCGCAACTTTGGGGAGCCTGGATCTTTTACAAACTGGCCAAGGATCAACAAAGGAAATTAAAGGAGAGCGAGGAGAAGCGTCCATCTTCGGGTGATACCGCACCCCAAACTGTATAAAATCAAGCGACAGCGTTATATTTTGACTTTTTGAAATGGAATTTGCCATGGCGACTAATACATATATATGGCGTTTAGCATCTTTATAAGGTTTCTAATGGAAATCAGACATCTCGCTAGGCCGGCTTGCTCTACATTGTGCCATTATACAGGGTTCTTGCTTCAGCATGCTTTGCGGCTGAGTTTAGATGCCATAGCCTTGTGTGTTTGAACTTGGGAGTCAACGACAAGATTTAAATGTCTGAACACAATTCGATTCTCACAAATAGAAAGTTTAAATGGCTTACATAGCAACTTAGTGATGACAATGTCCTTCACAGCACGCCTTTGACACGCTTTTGGCACTTAGTTGCCATTATTTCGTTCGTTGTCAGGCTGAGTAGGCGGAGTAGGCACACTGCCGCTGTCGCGGCATTCGTGATCGACGATTGCCTGAACCTAGTTGTACACGTCCTGGCTAATTCAAAAGCGTCATTTTTGTAAATAAGAGCTTCGTTGAGAGCCGTGACGCAATTTGTCCTGCGGTGGCGTGTTAGCTGGCACAGTTGCAGTTGACAGGGTGGAGAAATCATCCAAAGGTGTCTCTAGCATAACAGAACAAAGGTTTTGTTCGGTCTCAAGAGAGAAGAGGAGTCGATCTCAAGAATTCAGGCGTAGCAACTTTTTTTTTCTTGGGCAACTTTCCACCGCTGCCAAATTTCTGTCACCACCTCTCGAAGCTACCAAAATAACAACCTGATCATGAACGACTTGAAAGGAAGCACCATGGTCATTTTAACGTTGGCTTAAAGACTTGTTTGTGTTCACTGGAGTGGGAGTGACTTGTCCAAGTTGGTACGTGGTGGACGCTCCTGTTACAAATTTGAGGGATAGAGTTGCAGACAAAGGGGTTGACCTAATGGCGATACATCGTTGTTATGCTGCGTTATAGATCACAGCTAAACAGTGAAGCAATCTAGACACTAAATCAAGCTAGATGGGTTAGTCTCTAGTATGAAATTCATCTTCAATTTCTATAGTTTGTATAGTCTGGCCGGGTTCATGGCGACGAGGTCGTTAGGTTGGAAAGAAGGTGCCGTCCCAGAACTAGTTTGCTTTTTGCCCCCCGCACGAAGCAAAGAAACTAGCTGTAGCGGATGAAAGCCTGACTACCTATGCAGCTAACTCGAGCTGTTGTATCAGTCTGGT